GTGTGTGTGAGTTGCAGGATGAACAGTATCTGTGCAGTGGGTGAGCCTCTGGTCTTACCAAGGCTGTGCCTGTGACGGCCGGCAGCAGACAGGTCGGGGGGGGAGGGTCTCACTTGACCCCAGCAGACAGGGAGCACAGTCCTGAACAAGTTTCAGGACTTTTATTGTTCTTTAGTTTTACTCAGCGTCCCGGTTTAACCTGTGGGGTCTGTTCTGTGCTGCTGCACTATCTGTGTCTGTGAAGGTCCTGAGTGTCTGGAAGAAAGGAGACTTCACAATTAGGTCATCTGCCCCCCGGCCCCACCCAAGGCACCAGAATGCCAGTTTTCCGTCCTGCAGTGCCCAGCTGTCGGGTGTATCTGCTGGGGTTAAGAAGGGTGGAGGAGGGCGACTGTGGTGTAAAGAAAGCAGGGGCTGTCATGGGAAGCACCTGGCATGCCCACCGTGCCCGCGCAGCTGCAGGAGGGATCGTGGGACACGGAGCTGTGTCCTGTCCCCAGCGGAATCCCTCCCTCTGTGTTGGGTTAACCAGTCCTGCAGGTCCTGAATGTGTCTGCTGGCATTCAGGGTCCCTTCTGAGCTCCAGGTTAGGTGGTAACGAGCGCGTTAAGGTCATGAGGAACTGAACTGGAACGAAAACTTTCAGACACACCACGCTATCCAGGTCTGCAGGTTGGGCCACCGTGGTCTGGGCAGTGAGCCTTGTATCCCGGGAATCAGCCAGTCTGAGATTGGAGTCAGTTACTGGGGGACAGTCACTGGGGCCACCCCCAGGTCTACTGCTCTCTGATCAGTCACAGGCAGGAGTTCGGGTTTGGCCAGCAGCTCCTGTGAAACGCTGAGGCACCTGCCAGCCTGTAGCAATGTCAAGGAGAGAGAGAGACGCATGTGGTTCCTCCAATCAGTGCTTCCCCCTCTGTCTGGCGTGGAACACCTGGTGTGACAAACCAGGGGAGTGGGGGGCGTGTCCGTTTGGCTCGATCTGTCCTGGGAGTGAGAGATCTTCACAGACAGAGCAAGTGGCGATGCCAGACCGGGCTGCTGTGCACTGAAAACCCAACCCCGTCACACGGTGTCCCTGCTCTCTCCCTCTGCGCTGGGACAGAGGGCTGCAGAGGCAAGCCCTGAGCTGAGTGAAGTGGATCGGGAGTTCCTGAGGTCTCAAATGGAAGAATGGCTCCTATCCTGCTCTAGATTTTAAGACAGTCGAGGACCCGTGATGGTTTTCTAATGCAATGGAAAGATAAAAGTGCAGAATCAGCACACATGTGCTCGAGACCGGGGTTTCAGCTGAGGCTGGCTGATCGATGTCGCAACTGTGCAATGACGCTCTCACCAAGGAGCGTGTCAGGAAGTGTGCTTTCCGTGTGTTCAAGTGGGGTTTTACTCTAGGAAGGTCCATGGTGTTTCTCTCACCCACATTACAATTTAAAGGGGTTCATTCAAAATATTTAAGTAGCGTACTGTATATTTAGTACTGTATATTTAGCAGGGTCTCAAAACACTCCTATGCAAAATATGATTTCTTCCTTTGCTTTAGATGTTTAATGAAAAGCAGTGTTAAAGGAGGCTGTTTGCAGGGTGAGGTGTCTGGACGTCCTTGCGTCTCCTCACATATGCAGAAGCTGGAGCGTGATTGATCAAGCCAGTGTCTTGACCTGCGTCTTGGGACCGGGTCAGGAGCGCGTGCCTGTCCAGTGAGGGGCTCTGACGAGTGCGTGTGCCCGCTGTCGCCCCCTAGGTACGATTCCCGGGAGCTGGTCTCGCCCGGCGGGCGCCGCCGGCCGCGTGCCCCCTGCAGTGCCAGCCCAAGCGCAGGTGAGTCGGCCCCGCCCCACGGCGGTCAGATCGCGCTTGCTGATCGATTGCGTTCAGCAGCTCCGTTCTGCACTGCTGCCGTACCCCTGCCAGCAGAGCTGGGGAGGATCCAGGGTCTGACATCACTGTGATCGGGGAAACTCCCCATCCAGTCCCGTCAAGCTGCAGGGGAGAACCCTCTGCCTTTCTTAAGCCTGCCAGAAGGTGTTATGATGAGCTTTGATTGCAGAAAGTAATAAGACAGTGCAGTCGCAATACAATGCTTTATGGCAAGGGGGCGATCTGGAGCGAATACCCATGCCCGCGCCTTTGCCCTTACCCACATGGGTTCTAAGTGGGGGCGTGGCGGGTTGAAGGGGGTGCTTGCGCTACCTGTGTCTTACAGCAGCGGTTCCCACACACCTGCTGGGTTTTGTTCCAGCCGAGTCGTCGCTCGGCTACGCCATCAAACCCTTCCTTGACTTAATAATCAGAAGATTCATCTGAACCACTCTGAGACATGGACCTGCTTTAACTGTTGTATTCTGAAAATGAAATAAAATCCCAAACTTGTGTCTAGAAATAAAATGCATTCAGCATTACAAGTGCAATGAAATGCTTATAAAGAAGCAACTGCATTATTATTGAAGCAACATATTTGATCAGTTGAGGCTTCAGTTATCTAATGAAGGGGGGAGGGACTGAAAGCCAGCGGGTTTGTGGGTCACCAGGACCAGGACTGGGAACCCCTGTCTTAGATGTTACTCCCTTCTATGCTCAGTAACACCCTCTCTCTCTCTCTCAATTCAATTCAATTTCAATTCAATGTGCTTTATTAGCATGACCGATGGGTACAATCAGTGTTGCCAAAGCAAATAAAAATAATAACATTAACATTGAACAAAACACAAAAGTAAAACTCTCTCGCTCTCTCTCTCTCTGTGCCTCCCAGCACAGAAATGAGTTCCAGGTCAGCGGCGGAAGGATACGCGGCGGAGGAGCAGTGCTCCGGCAGTGCTGGGGCGGAGGGATACGTGAAGGAGTTCACCCGGCACTCCAACGACGTCCTGCTCAACCTGAACGAGCTCCGGCACCGGCAGATCCTCACGGACGCCACCCTGGTGGTGGGCACCATGAAACTGCGGGCACACTGCGCCGTGCTGATCGCCTGCAGGTGAGGGCGCATGCTGCACATGTGGGTCAAATGTTAAGGCTGAATCAAATATCACCCCAGGGGTTTTCAATTTAGACTAGAGCTCAAGGACAGAACCATCTACCGATAGGGTGACAGGATTGGCTTTCCATTGGCTTTACATCTGGCAGACTAAAAGAGCAAACATGGTCTTTACAAACACAGGAACAAACTTGTTCAGCAGCAAATCGCTGGTTAATCCGAGGAATTTCTCCCACTGTTTCTCCATGGGTTCCAGGGCATCCTGGAACAGGGAAGGTAGATCGACTTTGACAGCAAGGCTGGGCAGCCCGTTCAAGTCTCCTACCACTCTTAGGGTAGAGAAGCACCTGTTGTTCTCGACGTTTCTACATGACCTCCCATTATTCCCCCCTACAGATTTAGCTCATTTAAACTTAGTTTTGAGATAGTCTGGGCGGCTCTTGAGGAATG